GTCCCCACCCCGACGCAGCAGCCCTCCAGCGCCGAGGGCGTCCTGTGATTGTGTTGTTAAAATTATGAATCTGATTTTTATGATGATGAAAATGATTTTACCAGCAGAAGGACTTTTTAAACTTTTTTTTTTTTTTTAATAATCTAGGCATGAAAAGCAAAAATATCCCTAACAGAATCTCTGAAGCTGAAAATATAAAATAAGGAATAAAAAAATAATAAAAATAATAAAAATCCATAAAAATATTAAACCAAACCTCCCTTTCCTTCCCGTATGCCCACTTTCCTTCGCAGCCCGTTCCCAGTCTTTTAGCAAACTGTGTACATAGCGGACTCCTTCCTTCTCCGAGGTGGTTTTAATGGCTTCTTGGTGTATAGAAGTTTGTCCATTTGTAACGCTCTGGATTGCGTCCCCTGCCTTTTCTTCCCTTCCCCAAAGTGATGGGCTTTTTCTTTTCTCTTTTTAGTTTACTCGGTTTCTTTTTAAGTAATGTGGAAGAAAATGGTTTATTTTGTATTGTGGTATTGAATATTGTGTTCCTTTTATGAGGCAACTTGATTGTAAACTTCATGCAACTATAGACTGGAAAAAACGAGCCGTGCCAAAGTCTCCCTTCTGTTTCTTCAACGTACTGATCAGCAGCACACACATCCACACCGTCACCACCAACGCTTGTGAATGTATTTTTCTGTTAGCTGGGTTTACATGTGATGTTTTAGTGCTTTTTGCAAGTTCAATTTGTTAGTTCCTGTATGAAAGATTGTGGGGGGAAATAAACGTCGTGCCGTTAGCTTTTTCCTTAATAACACCCTTCCTTCTGTAAATACCCGTTACCATATTTATCCATTTGTAATTAAATTATGGTATTAACTTGCTACAGAGGAAACAATATTTATAAAGAATGTTTCTTAACTATAAATATGTACAATTGTGGGCATAAACTGTTTCAGATTTTTTATTTGAAGGTTTTAAGTGGTTTGATCATTTCTTGTGATATGTTTTGAAAGTAATGCATACAGAAATATAATAAAATGTGTTGAAACTGCATGAACATACTATTTTTTCTAGCAAAGTTATTGAAGAAAATGGGACCAGGCAGCTGAGAGTCCGCGTGGGTATGGATCAGCTGCCTGAATGAATGGGAGACACCACCTCACATTCTGGGGAGGAAGGTGTATGTATGCGTAGAAACCGGGCCAAACTCCCCCTTTGGCAGAAAGTCTCAAAATTCTTTTCTATGTCCTTTGTTTCATAGCTGAGAGTGAATTAAATTTTTGGAAGCCCCTGTGAGGAAGGGCGGCAGGAACCTCCAGAGTTTCTAATGGCTCCATTATCTGAGGGAATGCCTTTCTTTCAGCTATTTGGACTGGATTTAGGAGCACTAAATATTTCCTTTTTCTTTGTTTTCCCTCATCCCTGCCCCCTTTCCTCTCCCTCAGAAAAGCTGAGGTACAGTTATTTTTAATTGCACGTTTAAAACTGAGCTGAGTACTTTGTTTTTGAACTTGGCCCAATGATTACAGTTTAAGGGACCATTTCTACCAAAAGGGGTGTTTTTTGTTTTTGTTTTTTTTTCCCTCTTGAAATTTTTAACAGTTTGCCCAAGAAATCCTGCTTATCTGCACAGCCACTGCACACAGATAAGCAGAATGTTCATGAGAAGGTAATAAATTGACTACATTTTAATTTAGGAAAGCAACAAACCGTTGGCCCAAAATGAAAGCGAACCGCTTCAAGAATTCAGTGAAACAATAAAAGGCTAACATAGCCAGGTGGCAGTGAGGCAGAGCTCTGACCACCAGCTTTCTCTGTTTGCAGCCTCACTACTCTCCTCCTCTGCAAGAGTTTATCAGAATTTCCAAACAAGTCGCTCCAAGGAAAAAGGCAATTTTAATAACTGAAGGGTAGGAGTGGGGAGAATTCTTTTCAAATCCCATCAAGATATCTTCATCTTCCTTAGTATCTTTGGTTCTCGGAGAGGTCCTGGCAGCCCCCAAGTCACACTCCCGAACCCAGTGGTGAAGGATTTGGGCAGCAGCAACACCACCTCCCTAGAATCACCCAGCCCACGCGGGGCTCTGCTGGCGGAGACCAAGAGCAGGGGTGGCTGCTGCAGAGACCGTTGTCTCTCTCTCCCCTTCAGGCCCTCGACTGGTCCCCAGGACCTGGCAGACTAGGCCGGAGGGCTGCTTAAGAAGAGAGGCAACCCTGACCTCTTAGAGACCATGACACCTATTCAATGGGGAGGGAAAGACTCCAGCTTGGGGGCTGTGTGTGTGTGTGTGTGTGTGTGTGTGTGTGTCCCAGAGGGTGACAGATGCTGGACTAGCCCTCCCCAGCAGCCCAGCGAACTGCCCAAGCGCCAACTCCTGAAGCAATCAACCCTATTAAAATCAAATTTATAACCCCTAATAATATTAAGGAAAATTATTAAAATAATTGGCATATGTTACTGATCCTTGGGAGATTTCATTAAACACATTATAAGCTGTGAGGAAAATCCTTTAGGGTTTTCCAACGCTCTCCACCCTTGGGGGGTGGGGGGTGTGAAGGAATCAGATAAAAAATTCGGCAGAACTTGGGCTAGAATGAGATGACCTATTCTACATGTTTTAGACTCCCCGCCCCCCCCCCGTGTGTGTGTGTGTGTGTGTGTGTAAATTAATTGGCTTTGAGACACCTCCCAAATCTGAGAAGATAAAAGGGGGGGGGGGATTTAGTATCAACTCAAGGCCTTAGAGCTTTGCTTCTCATGTGGGGGAAGAAGGAAAACAGCAAGAAGAGGTGGACGGCCTCACAGCCTTGGCTGGATCGCTTTCCAGATCCGAACGTCGTCGGAGAGCTGCCCGCGCATCCCTTAGGCCTCCCGGCGCCGTCCTGGTTACCAGCAGGCTATAAAAACCGGGAGGAGGCTGGCGTGAGGAGGTAGAGCACAGCCTGGGAGCGGTCCCCCAGTCCACCCTAGGATGTGAGGAACAGATAGGAGCAGCTTTCCCGCAAAATGGCTCCTAGTTCTCTGGCCCCTGCGTCCCACCGCTTTGTCCAAACAAGTCACGGACCCGACGGCGTGGCCCAGCCTCCGCCTTTCTCTAGGGCCCCTTCGATTCCCAGAGACAGGCTGGGGGGTGGGAAGAGAGGGCACAAGGGTGAGAGTGTCAGAGATGCCCGAATTGCTCAGCGGAGAAGGCGCGCGGGTGCTGGCGGCCCACGGACCTGCACCGCAGGGAAGCGCCTGGGCCTTGGGGCGGAGGGTGCAAGGGTCCCCCGCCCCCCC